CCCCCCCCCCCAATGTATTGAAATGAACTCGATTTATTATGACGTTTTGAAGCTTAATTCAAAGCCAGAGAAGGCAGAAGATATTTCGATCAGTACTGCTATAGATTTCTTAGAAGGGCTTTTTCTATTCCGGTTTTAAAAAAATATGGATAGAATTTTGTTGTGCCATGAAAGGTATCACTATAGAGTTCCCTTACTTTATGTCAGAAGCAGAAGGCATCTTCCCTTCAAACATCAGATTAGCTGCCTTAGCACAAGCGTTCCCAGGCCCCATGGTAGCTACAGCTAGAACACGGTCACCTCTGGAGAAACAAGAGACAAAACAATCAACCAAGGAGGTAATGTAATGTATTAGCAAAATCCAACTAGTGGTCTATTATCAGTGCTGCGTTCTAATTGGTCGAGCTACTACTAGGCTATATGTTATTGCCCACTAGTAGCGAAAAGCGCCGGCTTTGAAAACCAAAACAATGGCGGCTGAATCGCGTTTTGCCAGCTAAAGTTGTTTGGTCTCGATATTTTTGACCAATTAGTTGGATTTTACTAAAACGATTATTCCTCTCGCCCTCATGGCCTCTGAGTCACCTGAGTAATGTAATGTAATGCAATGCAATGCAATGCAATGCAATGTAATGTGATGTAATGTAATTACAGGAAAGTTAAGATAAGGTAAGGAAAGGTTAGGAAAGGTAATGATGAACATTAAGCACATAATAGCGCCACGCTGACTGCGGATATCAGTCCGTTTATGAGCTCCGTTACTCTATGAATTGTAAAGCCCTCTTTAAATTTTAGTAAGCCAATAATGGCAATAAATCAGCGTCATGTCTTGAACAGATTGTAAAAGTAACCACGACCACGACAACTGCCACTACCACTACTGCTACTACTACCTGTAAGTGACTTCTGAACGATAAAGAAATATGATAGACCAGGCCTATTAGGTATAGTTCTAGTTTGCCCTACAGCTACTGTTATGGTGTACAGGCTTTCTGTTAGGCTGTCTTATGTGTATAGTGCGTTACAGGAAACGAATCAAAACCAGTCGTTAACGACTGGCGCGTGGACTGAGCAGCATCAAAGAAACCTAGTAGACTCACTTGACATAGTAAGCTGTGAATTTCTGTTCATCTACATCTCCTTCGATGATAACATCATCAAAAGATTTTGCATGACCTGAAATCAAAAAGAGTGGATTTAAAGGTAGGCCTGAAGAAGAGCACACTGTGAAATGGTGGCTAAATGTCACCACGTCGAGAAGGCTAAAACACAGTAAAACAAAACAAGTGGCTGTTTTGGGGATATAGCACGTTACAGTTGAGTATCGAAAGTAATTAGTTGACTGTCATGGTCAAAATGATTTCATCAACTGAACATGGTAAAGTTATTTTCCAATGAAGATTCAAAAGTTGGCATCTCGTTTCAAGGGCCGTCCTCGACTTAGGATTGCTATGCTTACCCTTTTGATTGGCTGAAAAATCTCGCTCAGTTGTCAGCACCCAAACCGAAACTGGTAATGACTTTGTGATTCGCTGAAACATTCAGCAACGATTTTTTCACCAATCAGAATAAATACTAAAACCAGTCAAAAAATCTAAATTTTCTCCACCATCAGAGTGTATACCAAAACCAGTCATGACTTCGCTATTGGATGAAAAATCTCGCGCCACTTTCTCTCACACCTTTTTTCTCGCACTTAGTGATAAAAGATGACTCTCTTGATGACGGACGGTGATTTGTTGATGATACTGTCTGTAACAGTGAATGTAATGATGATGATGATAGAAGAAGAAGAAGAACCTTTATTAATTTATACCGCTCAGGGTAGCCCCTTCAGACGCAAAAAGCTGTCTGTTATCAATGGGAGCCCTGAGCAACAACGCACAAAAACACACTAAACATATAAACATTACACTAATACAGGTAATAATATAAACAGAAAACTATTTTCAATTAAAAATAACGATAAAGATGATGATTATTGAAAGAGGATCTTGTCAAGAAAAGAATTCCTTGCAGTTTTTTTTTCGCTATGCACCACTGTTCTGTTTCTCGCTTTAGCTGGTCTTTCAAGAGACAAGCGTTGACGGAAGTGACGAGACATGCGCGATGGGTGATGAAATCATGATTTTCTTGCAAACTCGTTCCCAGGTTCTTTGAGTCGCGTTGAACTAAAGCCAGCCAAAGAAAAATTGAATTTACTTGCAGTCTTTCTTTCATTCCCTTCTTCCGATCCTGGGCTCATCTAAGTACATACATCCCTTGGCAAAAATTAAAACAGAGGTATGCACAGGGACTTTGTTATCACGGACAGCTCCTGAGGCTTTGCCTTTGTGTATTTTAATGAGATTTGAAATAAGTTAAAGAACCAATACTTACACCAGTTTCAGATCTAAAATAATAACAAATCGATGTTGCAGATGAGCTAACAATGAGTTTAACTTACCACAATATCGGATACTCTTGCCGTATTGGGAAGTCCAAAAGAAAGGAATAGTGT